ACAGGGAATGATACGGGGAAAAATGAAGTGGAAAAGTAAATTGGAAAGGGCCACATCAAGTATGAGTATGGGAAGCTCCAGGTTACAGTTCTTTAAGTTCCTATGGTGGAAAAATGCTAAATCGGGAGTGAACTTGCTAATGTTGTTTTATTAATTATAATATCACCATACCAAAGCAAAGCAAAGCAAATTTATTTATATAGCACTTTAAAAACCAGGGTTACAGAGTGCGTGTATTGTTGCTTGGCCAAATATCATTTTGATATACAGTGATGGCAGATCAACCAAGATGGATTTCTTGCATATTTATGACTGGACTCTGGCTCAATCACTGCTCTGGTTATAAATTTAATTTGAGAAGGCAAATATAGTAAGTTGTGGTCAAAGTGACAGTCTGCGGAAAGTTTTTGATTCTTGTGATGGACTGATGACCTGTTGAGGCATTTTCCCTGACTTTTACCAAATGCTATATAAGTTCCAGCATCACCATCCCTCTGTGAAAGGTCATGTGCTGTTGTCATAACACATCACAAACCTGGAAGATGCTCTTTTCTGGTGAAATGTAGTGTGAACTAAATTCAGCAGAAATGACAAATGCTCTTCATTCATCTAGAGAGGACATGAGAAATCTTTCTCTAAATGAAAAATAAAAATGATAATTATATAATTATACATATAAATATTAATTATGTAATGAATGGTGACTTCACAAATAACAACACAAACTTCCGGCATGCTCATAGGTATCAGCAAAGCTGTTCTTTATCACTCCACCACTGCAGAACAACACAGGTTAGAAAACATTAATAGCCTCTTACTTTGTGAGCACCACTGTGTTTCAAATACTGTCAGGTGTCTATTCAAACTACCAGCACGGAGTCGTGCTCTGTTCAGTGTTTTTTTTTTATTCTTACTTTAGGGTGATTCTTTGCTCCATTCTCATGTGAGAATACCCTGACTGACCTCAGAGTTTACAAAAGAAAAAGTCAAGATAGATAGATGGAGAATACTGGAATCGACATATTTGCTCTTTTGGGTGTTAACGGGTTGGTAAAGGTCGTAAATGTTTACACTCCACTACACCCCTGCTTTTGGGAAATGTTCCCATACATGACACAGGCTGGCATGTCAGTCGTGTCATTTCTCCTGATACACAAATTTGGGCAATAGAAACAGATCTATTTTAGTTCCACATTGATATTAGTGAAAGGATGCAAACACAGGAAAGGCCTACAAATTTGCATGCAATGTAAGTCCAAGGAGAAGTCCTTCTACTTTCAGCTGCTCCCATTAGGGGTTGCCACAGCGAATCATCATTTACCACCCAGCTGACGATGTGCATGCTAAACTTGGCATGTTTTACACCGGATGCTCTTCCGGATGAAGTCTAAATTAGAGTCGCCAATCAACCAATCCTGCATGTCTTTGGGAGGAAACCGGAGCACGCGGAGAAAACCCACACAGGCACAGAGAGAACATGCAAACTCCACACAGAAAAGCACTGGGGCTCGAACCCGGAACCTTCTTGCTTTGAGGCAACAGCGCTAACCACTGCACCTGTCATGCAATGTATACTAACAGAAATAAGCTGTCAGACATCACACATGCACGGAAAGTGTTTACAGTAATGTCATCTCCGTAATCTGTTAAAACCTGTCAATTGTTTTAATTAACAGTAATTAATTAACATTACTAACATTAATTAAATATCAATTAAATAAGAATAATACAGTTTAATAGATATTAAAAATGACAGTGTAATACACAGGAAAAATATATTTTAAAAAATATGTATATTCCGTTAAGCACTTGCTCTTTTTTTAGACATATCTTTGAAACCAGTGTTGGTGAAACTCAATCACTGCTGTTGTCCACATGTCTGCATATATCCATTATATCTTTAAAGCTTCATTAGGAGATGTTTATAAGAGTGAATTCAAATGATTCAATGCAATGTGAAAAACTGTTGGTGCTGCTGCAGATCCCACTGAGAATCAACAGTCACCCCAACTCTTTGCACCGTTCAACCTCTTTGAGCTGCTCATTGTTTTGGTTCACTGGTCCATGCAGTCCCACTGGCTCTCACAGAGACTGGCACAAAACTCTGTGCCTCTGCTCCAAGGTCAGAAGCTTACACAAGCTACACTGTATGTCCAGTGCTCAATGCCAGTGTGACAAACATAACAAGAAATTGGTGAGGAGGACTGAATATCAAGCAGGTCAAATAAACCTAATGTTTTCAAACAAGAAGGGGTGAGAACACTGGAGGTAAACTTGTCAGGCAGACAGACAGAGCAGCGCAATGTGTTGCCAGTGTTGCATTGCAGAGAATGTGGAAACAGGCATCTGTTTGTTAATGTATACACTCTTGATAAAATGCTTAAATGCGATGCATCTGTTGTTGTGAACATTTCTACGCCACAGTAATCAAAAATCACTTAATGTACCAAGTCTGAGCCCCTTTAGCCTTTGTTATGTGGAGCGTTTTCAAGTGAAACTGAGTTGGGGGGTGGGCAGTGTGAGATATTTTATTAAGACCAAGGATCCTCAAAACAGGCAGCTGACATACTGTAGCCTTAGTAGTACAGCAGCTGATGTCACGGATTAGGCTGCTGGTTGTAATTCTGAAAATTGTACAAATCTGCTCCCCAGTTTCTTATCTGAAACACCTAATTAATGTCTTATGTATTATTTTATCCAGTGGGAAAAAAGTTAACAATCCTTAAAAAACTACTGAAGGTTTTCATGTTGTTGCAACTGTGTGTAATATCACGCACAGTTCTGGAGATGTGTGTGTGTGTGTGTGTGTGTGTGTGTGTCTGTGCCATCATCTTGGTCTGAGGAAGAGGAAAAACAAGTGTAAATAATTTACTGGAATCATGTAGAGCTGCCTGTGCAACCTCCATGTGTCACTGTGTATTTATTTATTTATATATCTATTTGACATTAAAAATTTAAAAACATTTATTTGGCTTCTTGTTGTGCACCCCTACAGGTTTTGCAGGTAATGCCCAGCAGTGGCTCTGAGCATAATTGATTAGCCTACTGGTCAGGGCAAGTCTTATTAACATGTCAGGCTGGGTCCAGAATTGAATTAAAGATAATTGCAGATGAGGGATGAGTGCCAGTGCCGAGCTGTGCAGGTGTGTGGCAGGTCTGCAAAACCGAAAACATGTAGTGATTAGGACAAAAAATGAAAAATGTTAAATATTTTAATTACATCATGTTTTCACTGTAGGTAGATAGATAGATATTTTATTGATCCCGAGGGAAATGCAGGTATCCTGTAACAAAAGCAATGAGAGGTGATGACATCCATCCATCCATTTAAATATATATAAAAATAAATTCCCCACTCGCCCCACTCCAGGGATTCTTATTCCTTCCTTCAAGCTCGGGTCCTCTACCAGAGGCCTGGGAGCTTGAGGGTCCTGCGCAGCATCTTAGCTGTTCCTAGGACTGCACTCTTCTGGACAGAGATCTCAGATGTTGTTCCTGGGATCTGTTGGAGCCACTCTCCCAGTTTGGGGGTCACAGCCCCCAGTGTTCCTATTACCACGGGGACCACTTGTGCCTTCACCTTCCACATCTTTTCTAGCTCTTCTTTCAGCCCTTGGTATTTCTCGAGCTTCTCGTGTTCCTTCTTCCTGATGTTGCTATTGCTTGGGATTGCTACATCTATCACTACGGCCTTCTTCTTCTGTTTGTCCACCACTACTATGTCCGGTTGGTTGGCCATTACCAGTTTGTCAGTCTGTATCTGGAAGTCCCACAGGATCTTAGCTTGGTCATTCTCAACCATCTTTGGAGGTGTATCCCATTTTGACTTTGGGACTTCCAGCCTGTACTCGTCACAGATGTTTCTGTACACTATGCCAGCCACTTCCATGTATGCCCTGCCTGCTAGCAGTACAGTTCCAGTGTGTGGCCTGTGTCTTTCCAGAGTTTTTGTTCCTAAACATACTGTAACATGTAACAACATGGTTTTTGTTCCTAAATGTGACCAAGTCATTTTTATGGCTAAACCAACACTTTTTTGTCCCTAAACCCTAGCCTAGTAGTTTTTCCTAAACCTAACCAAGTAGTTATTGTGTCTAATCATAACCAAGTGATTTGTGTTTCAAAATGTAATGAAACCCTTTCTTAACTAACTGTTAGATTTATGAGTCTCCAAGACTGGCCATCGTGTTTATAGCTGTTTCTATGATGACAAAGGTCCGTAAAATTTGGCAGTGCGTTGATGCTAATTTTGGCAGGATTGCTGCTATTTATTATTATGCCCTTCCGGATTGTATGAGTGGGCAGGGACAAACGATCACATGGATCGTATAGGTCAGAGGAATTGTTGGTCCATGCACATGGTCTCAGTGCTGTTTGCTCCATAGATAAGACTGCAATGTTCCCACATATTTTGTGAGGAAGAAACATGTTTTAGTCTCTGTATGGCAACTTTGGAAAGTAACCAAAACAGAAAATCACCAGCTTTAAGTTTCATTACTTTTTGATGAGCATAACAGAAAAAATGATGTGAACCACACTGAGAAATATTTGACATTAAAATCAAATCCAGTTATGCCATGTAATGTAAAAGACTTGCAGCTATTGTCAGTCTCACTTCATCAACACCCCAATTTGCACCTTTCACAATTTTGTTGTTTGCTGGTCCAAAACATGCAGTTTAAAAGATTATTTAACTCATGCTATTATCACTTTGAAATCAATTCATGTCACTTGCCGGCTTCCGCCTGTGATTAAAATGCAACACTGTGTAAAGCAACAAATGGTAGCAGCTGTAAGGTACAGTACATGGGAAATTATTTCTATGAATGTTTAATTGTTGAGTGCTAATGCAATGTAACATGCTTTCTGTGCTTTTTTCCCCCGTATCCACAACATACACCCATTTAACTATAGTGTAGAGCCATACACCAAGGTGTAACTATATAAGGGATGGAATGGGAAATAACAAAACAGTAGGAGAATTGTATGAAAAGACTTACCAATATACTGGTTCCACTCTGGATCCAGATCAGCTTGATTGGCCAGGCAGCCCTTCATGACATTCAGGCAATAGTTCCTACAAGCTTTAACTGCTGGCATGCCCTGACAAACTGGGCAGTACAGCATCTTAGTCAGCGCTCGAATACATGCGGGGGTGCTGCTTACCTGTGAGGACACAGAGTGCGACAGCAGTCATTAACATCTGGACAGTTCCTCTGAAATCCACAATAATCTTTACCACATAGATTCATATTTCATTGTTTAATAGTTAAACACTGAGGTTCTTCGCAATTTTACAGTGAGTTATACAGAAAGAACTATTTGTCTAATACAGTTCAAAAACTTTTATTTCAGGATTTATCAGAATACTTTTGGATGTTTTTTTTAGTCTGAAATTGTTTACGTCAAAGATTTGGAATTGTGCACGTTCAGAAATGCCACAAAAAACAAGACAAGAGACAGTTTCTGCTGACCACTGTCCGTCACAGTGAGCGTGTGATCGCTGTCAGACAGTTAGTCCTGCATTTAAATGTTAAAAATATACGAAGACAAACATTCAGCCAGAGTTAGTGGTCAAGCATTCTGCTCTTCAGTTATTCATCTTTCTCTGTTTTTCATTTTTCCAATTTCACAACTCTAGAGTATAATGTTATTGGAAGAGGGAGGTAAGGCCTCATCAGTCACCAAGTTAGAAACTCATCAAAACCTAAACCATCTCATTAAATGATAGATTTAGGTGTGCAAATTAGCAATCACATGCACTGTTACAGCATTGATTTAGTAATCTGAAAAGGCTGAAACAATGTATTTCTGGTCATATGATCAATACTGATGCTGTATCTCTTTATGTTGCATTTATGATTTCCTTGTCCAGATGTATCTTACTGCAGGGCAACATAATGAGTCAGTTTAACAATCCACTGTGGTATTAATTGAGTGTTTGAATTTGATGAATAGAGTGTTAATCAAAAAGCAAGCCCTCCATTACACAACTTGTTGAACATGATGTTTCTCTTAATGTTTTCCAAGAGAGATGATCATTTTGGATAAAATGATAACCGTGAAAATATGTGCAGCTCTAGATATGCTTATCTATTTAGGGAGAAGACAAGTTAAAAGGTTCTGCACTGTGGCACGCTGTGGCTGAACTGTGCAAATTTGAAGCAGCTGATTCAAACCAAGCATCGGGGTCATTCACACTCTTTTCTTAATAAAGCTCAATGCGTCAGTAGATAGATGTCGAACAATAGAGTGTCATATGTTCTACAAATGGTAAAACCCTCTTAGACAAGTATACTGGTGCAGGGATTGACCGATGAATGGAGAGATCAGAAACAATATTCAGTTCTAATGTGGTAAATCTGCAAAGGGAATATGCGTGGATGTGTAATAAAATCATAGGAAAATCATACTAATATTGATGTGTTGTTGTAAACCAAGTTGTTGAAATCCTAACTATGAAAAGTAAAAAGAAACTCAAACTGAAGTTTATACCTCACTCAAAGTTTCTGCAAGTGACATCTGACATCTGTCATATTTTAAAACATTTATTTGCAAAGTAATTTGCAAATGGATACAAAATAAACAAGCATGAGATGGCAATCACAACTCCAATTTAAAAAACCATGCAAAGTTTATGATTTAAAAGAAGACACAACTTGTTGGCCTGAGGTGACTGGACAACAAACACCACTCCCAGCTACTTTTTGTGACAAGCTGAGTTTTTGGAACCAGTAAAAGGCCAAAAGAGCCATTCCAATTATCGTTCAGCAAATCCTTTGCTTTGTGAGGATTTTGCACATCTCAGTTGTTAGCATGAACCTGACAGAAACAGTACAAAAACAATCATGAAAGAAATATGAAAACAGAGAGGTAAATGCAGTGTACCAGAGAATGGTTAATTATCAGGCTCCAGAGCTCTCCCCTAACTAAGAGACAATACTCACACATCAGCTCTTAAACTTCTGGTGTGACCTCACACTAACTTCATGCGGAATATTCTAAAAATGTTCCTGCAAAAATCTCTCATACGAGACACAGGTGTAGAGTGGCAGCGCAAAACACATAACATTCGTTTTCAGGAGGGTTAGTAGTCATGAGGAGAAATAATCACTGATATTAATCACTAAAAGCATTAATACTGTTATAATTGTAATAATTTCTAGTAGTAGTGCAGTAGCAGTAGGAGCAGTTCCTAATTCATCCATTTTGTAGAAAATATTCTCAGGAGAAACTTTGTAATTTCGAACTTTGCCACAATAAAAAAATACTTTCCTTTATAATGACACAATATTAATTGGTATAACTTAAACATAATAATGATTTTGACCAATATTTTTTCTAGCTACAAGCTACAAAAATCCTCCAAATAACAATAAACAACTTTTTACTATAGCAAAGAAGTGAAAGGACAAACTCTTTTTTTTCATTCTACTGTATAACACACATCTTTACATATTCTAAGAATCAAAATCCATACAGATGGTTATAACAGTGTGATCACTTCAAATAAAAAGAAGTTGATATACTGTTTGAGTAACAATCTGGAATAAGTCTGAGCTTTGTTTGTGAGATGCAGATACATGCTTCTGCTTCCCCAGAGCTCTGCTGTGTTTTGTGTTTTGTCTCTTAAGCTGTGAAAAGAAATAATGTACTACATTATCTACTTTAATTATATAAGAGGCTTGGATGTAGTCACACTCAACAACAGGGAATATGATATATACATATAAATATACCTCTTGTCCATGAAGAGATAGACAAGAGATATCTCTTCATGGACAAGAGATAGACAAGTCCCAGGAACAACATCTGAGATCTCTGTCCAGAAGAGTGCAGTCCTAGGTAGAGCTAAGATACTGCGCAGGACCCTCAAGCTCCCAGGCCTCTGATAGAGGACCCGAGCTTGAAGGAAGGAATAAGACTCCCTGGAGTGGGGCGAGTGGGGAAGTTATTTTTATATATATTTAAATGGATGGATGGATGTCATCACATCTTAGAGACTTAGTTGGGTGTCTTATTCCACTATGCTTACACCATATTTGTTGAGATGAGGTTATAACCTGAGGATCAAAGGGCTGCAGTCCCAGACACATGATGTGGATCTCAGGTCCCACTGAAATGTCAAGGGGTACAGCTGGGACATGCTGGCTTGGAAGAAACACAGGGTGTAACTCAGTAAACACATACTAACAACAAATCCTGTGCGGCTGCTTCTAAATGAGCCCCGCCACTACAACTGGCGAGGGGGAGCTGACACACACACTGAGGGGAACATTAAAGTTCAATGAGTGCACTGTGGTGAGACTACAGACAATGAATGATGGATTTCTGGGAGGATAGCGGTGTTTTCTCCTTAGTGTCTTTCCCACTGTCTCTAATGCTGGTAGGTTGCTATATTTTCACTGGCTTCGGTTTATATACTGTACAGCGGGCCTATAAATATTTATAATAGTGCTGATTATCCAGACCAACAGATATCAATCGAATAGTGACAAGAAATCTGAGGATGGCTGGGGATTTGAGGCATAGTGCTTATCAGTGCTTCTCTCAACCCATAAGAGGGCATGTATGCCCTGTTGTTGAGTGTGACTACATCCAAGCCTCTTGCTTTTCCTTTAATCTCACTTACATGATCAACATTACACACATTCCCAGGGCAGTATGATATACCGCAGAAGCTGCATTAAGATTGCATCACATCAAACAGAATACTAGGGCTACAGCATGATTAATGGCTCCTGTATACATGGTGAGCAAACATTAGCCAATAAAGCAGTAAACAGTTCTGGCAGGAAATTCTTCTGGGCTCGTCAACAGTGTGTTTTCTAGATGGCACCTGAACAAGCTGCCTTGAGCCCCAAGCTTCCTGAAGAGAGCAAACATTAGCTGGGAAAGTATTGGGGAGTTACTTATTTGTGGTGAACAACCATGGAGAAATGTATACTTGCTGCAGAAACACCAAACAAGACCTTGAGCTTGTTGAAATTTGTGTAAGATACGGAACAATTCTTAGTTTCAGCTGTGGGTCACATTCTGAATATTGTCCAACAGCATCAGCAATTGAAATCAAATTATGTTTCTGGTTTGTAACTAACAGAAACAAGCCATTATTTGCATGTTTTATAATCTAATTACATTTTAATTTGAATAAAGTGCTGGGAATGTTTACCTTAGACACTCTCTGGGCTACCTCCCGGCCAACTGAGAGTCCCTGGACGAATGTACGTGCAGCGATGAATGCCCGGGTAACCTGAGCCTTCAGCTTCCTGGGCACATCTCCAAAGGGCTTGAGCTGGTCGGTGTACTTACTGATACACTCCAGATAGTCCTCAGTGATGACATACTGGGAGTTGAGCAGTGTGAACATACGCTCCAGCAGTCGCGACCAAAAGTCATTAAGCATTTCCTCCAGGTTAACATTCCCTCCAGTGTAATAGCGCTTCAGCTCGGCGAACAGGTTTTCAAAGACCTCAGAGTTCTGCATGTAAGGCTTGCCATAAGTCCTAACAAACATCTCATTCAGGGACCGTTCTGTGTTCTCCAGCAGCTCCAGGAAGAATTCTGGTTTAAGAAGGAAAGAAAAAGTGTTATTTGTTGTGTAATTTTCTGTGTTTGTGGCTGTGTTGATACACCTTAATCAGTAGATGTGCCTTGGCAAGATACACTGGGAACCTTTGAGAAATACATAAATATCACATTAAATGGACCTATTTAAAAAGGAAATCTGCTTGCTTGCAATGCAGACAGCCAAAAATACCAAATCAATTAGGCAAGTGATTTCATTTTGAAGAGGTTTCACAGCATTGCTATCTTTATTTTCAGTAAAATACATTTGACGTTACAGTGAGAGCCTGTCTCTTATATTTCTGAAAAACAATAGGTTCTGTGTTTGCAGTACATGTGGTCTGTACCCTGTAAGTCTCAATTGCATTCTTGTACCTTGATACAGGGCTGAATGATTTCTTATACAGATTTGCACTGGGGTTTTCCTCCATATGCTGGAAGCATAAGGCTGTCAGATGAAGAGCAATAAATCATCCATTAATATGATTGTGATCCCACAATACAGTGTGTCAGTAGGGTCTGCAACCATCCTGCCTCCTCCTTTCTAGGCACCACTTGCTGTTTGCCTCATGACCTCCATGACTCACCAGAAAATGAGATGAGATGGTAATATTTCTGACCACCTGCTATACATAATGATAGTCCTGGCTTTCAGGGGCCAAGATGAAAATTTAATAGGGTTCAAAACTCTGCATCTTTAACTGCAAAGTGAAATATTCTGACTACTCAGAAAATGCTCCAGCCCTGTGCATGGTAGAGGAGATGATAGAAAGTATTTTATATTCCTGAGCTATTGTCATTTACAGGACAGTATGTCCAATCCAAACAACATTAATTGACTGAGAGCAAATACGACCAAGTGGGGTGAAAATTCTCTGCAGATTCCTCTATATGAGAAACTGACAAGTTATTTGACTGATTGTTAATATGAAAATGTTGATTAGTCTGTCTTTGAGGTTTTCCTGGTGGTATGAGCTAGTCTGAAAGATGAGTGACAGAGTGAACAAAGCTAGGAGTAAAACATTAAAAAGGTCAAGCTATTAAAAATAATGGGCTGTGTGGGTTGTCCCTGCAACAGCATGCCAGCTATTAATACCACAAACCCTATTGCTACTGTTTTTTTCTTGCTGGTTATCAGAATTGCAGTAGACCCGGGGTCTCCAACCTTTTTCCCCGGGGACGTAGTTGACAAAATGAAAGTGGCGGAGAGCTGTGCATCCTGTAATGCTACTTAAGTTATTCACATATCATATCGAAACAATTACACCGATCTCCAGACCAAACCAGTTGAATAGGCTAGCTGCAGCGTGTACCCAGTTATCAAAAACTTCAAATACTCACATTTTGTACCAAAAACATTCTAAACACACATCAGTCATGGTGTTTACAGAATGCACCTCCCTGTTGAAAGAAGATGCTACTCATAACTCCAGAATTTGCCTGAAGATCATCATATTTTTAAGTGTTCTTCACTATACATCCACTGGTATATAGCAAACAGGAAGTGCTAATAGCAAATTTGTCAAACTTTTTGATTCAGAATGTAAACAAATATACATAGGTTAAAATGGGGCACATGCTGCAGCCCAAAGTATACTGCAACTCACTCGACTGATAACGTCACCAACTGACAGGTAACTGGCAAATGATCATTTGGTGTAAGAGGAAGGCGGGATGTTATCTGACTGGACTACAAGTGGAGCAGGTGTTGCTTAATGCCTGTACCATCCATGCATCCATGTTGTGCATGTACTACAGTATTTGAACCTTGAGCGATGTGTTGGAGACCTCACTCATGCTGTAAACTACTAAGTGCATTTTAAATGACACAGGCTCAGACCACATATGCACAAGGAGATCCATCTGGAACCTCTGAGCTTTGCACATTACAGTCACGTATCAGAGCAGCCCTGACAAACCCGTAATGATTTGATTTGATTTGATTTGATTTATTCTTTCAAGCATGTAAAGACAGTTGATATGTCAACACATAATTTTACACATATCCAACAAATGCTAATCCAATATCAATTTGCTTATACCTAGTACATGCTTGAATGGAGTAGGAAGAAGTCAGACTTATCCAGTCCTACCCCATGACATCATCTTACCATCATTGGTTTGCAAGCAGTATCTCTACATAAATAATTATCTTCTACACCACACAAGTAATATACTAAAAAAATTATAACAGAGTGTTAACATTCTTACATAATTACATTCTTAAATAATTATCTTCTACACCACACAAGTAATATACTAAAGAATTATTACAAAGTGTTAACATTCATACCCCACACCCACAATGTTCCATCTAATTAATCATTAAGCCTGTTCTTGCATATATCTTGATTGACACATACCTTTATATTTATATTTAAACTCGTCAATTCTATTACTATTTTTTATGTCCACACTTAAATTATTCCATAGTTTTACCCCACTTATGGAAATACAACATTTTTTTTTTGGTTGTACGTGTAGCATGAATTTTTTAAATTTAACTGACCCCTTAAATTGTATCCCCCTTCCCTTTCATTAAATAGTTTTTGAATTCCACCAGGTAATAAATTGTTCCTGGCTTTATACAAAAACACAGCAGTCTTATATCCCACTAAATAAAAATTTTAACAATTTAGACTGTATGAAAGCTACATTGGTGTGATCCCTATACCCCATCTTATGCACAATTCTTATCACTCTTTTTTGTAATATATACAATGGTTGAAGTGAGCTTTTGTATGTATTTCCCCAGTTTTCAACGCCATACTCTAAGTATGGTAAAATCAATGAAGAATACAAAATACGGTGCTTTCCCGTCTAAAATATATCTAACCATTGCCAATATCGATATATTTTTGCTATTTTGTTCTGAACATATCTGATATGAGATTTCCAGGAGAATATGACACCTAGAAATTTAATTTCATGTACTCGTTCTATA